AAAACTTCATGATTTTAAGAGAGAATTTGATAAGTTAATTTCTGAATCAAGTTCCATGAATTGCTAAGAGGTTGTTTCCCTCATTTTTCTTAGGCTATATTTGTTGTACAGTGGAGGATTCATTGTGATAATTCCAAATAGCCTTACATTGTACCTTGGTTAGATCATCCCCACCATCTCCCCCTCCCCCTGTACTCCCCTCCCCACCTAACTTAAAGCAATTGTAAGAGGTTTCATGGCTCTATTTCATATATGTATATGAAGCCCATCAACCATATTCCCTCACCTTCATCTCCATTCACCCTCTCCCTCCCATAAGTACCCCCACACACACACTGTACCTATTTTACAGTCCTGTCTTTTATTATTAATTCTAAAGTCAATGTTCCAAGGGGTTTCTTGAAGTAGCCCCATGGTGAGTCTGCTTTACTTTGGTCCGTTCAACCCCTTCTCTTACTTCCCCTTAGTCCTTCCCTCCTGCCCTCATTATTCAGCAGCTTTCAGTGCGTATCATTATATCCTCTACCTGCTTAGATGTAATGTATTTTGAATTGTTGACTCTTCATCATTCTCTTTTCCTTTTCCTCCTCCTCCCCAGCTCCATAGAGTAGTTCCATTGTTACAAACTTGTTGTACATATGAGTTTGTTTGTATGTGATCATGTTTGTTTTTGTGTATGTTTATCTTTTCTAAGATAGTTTTGCCTTGCTAGACATTAAGATATATTACAGATTGGGCACTGTGATGCAATTCCAGCTACTTGGGAGGAGAAGATGGGGAGGATGCTATTCAAAGCCATCCAGGCAAAAAATTTGCAAGACTGCATCTCAGCAAATAAACTGAGTATGGGGCACACACCTATAATCCCATCTACAGAGAGACATAGGTAGGAGTTGCACTCCAAGGCAGCAGGGGTTGGAGGGAAAGTCAGGGACAAAAGACCCTACCTGAAAAATAACTAAAGCAAAAAAGGGCTAGCCCCTGCCTAGCAAGCAAGAGACCCTGAGTTCAAATGCTAGTCCCACCAAAAAAAAAAAAAAAGAAAGAAGGTATATTACAATGCCTAGTAATTCAAGTAGTATAGTCCTGGCTCAAGTAAACCGAATAATGATATAGAAAATTGAGAAACAGACTTATGTGTATAGAAGAGCTGGTGAATTATTGAGGTACCATCATAAATCACTAGGTAAAAGATGAATTCGTTCTGGAATGGTACTGAGAAAAATTAACTCAATATAGGGAGAAAAATACAATTGATTTCCTATCTCACAAATGATAAAAAAAAAATTTCCCAATGGGCCACTGCTCTAAATGTGCAAGATACAACTACAAAGCTAATAAATAAAAATGCAGAGAAATTATCTTCATGTCCTTGGGTGGAAGGTGATGTCTTAGACAAGACCCTACAAAGCACAAATCAAAAGAAGAAAAATTCTTACCCAGATTTACAGATTTTAGTCCAAGAAACAATATCATAGACAAAAAACCAAGCAGGAAAACAAGATTCATGGCAGAATGGGAGAACAAGATCACGACACCTGACACTAACAGTTTCTAGAATAATCACAGACTTCCATGAAAAAGTCCAAAATCAAGTAACAAAGGGAGCAAAGAACACATATCACAGAAGGGGAAGCCCAAGGCTGAATGCAGAGAAAAAGGTATGTTTATGGGCTGGTGGAGTGGCTCAAGTGGTGAGCGCCTGCCTTGCAAATGGAGGCCATGAGTTCAAATCCCAGTACCACAAAAAAAAAAAAAAAGGAGGTATTTCAACCCACCAGTACCAGGGCAATCCAAATGGAAACAATGAGAATGGTGGTGTCAAGTTCAGCCAAGGATGTGGGGAACCTGGGGCCATTGTGCAGCCCTGAGGGGACTGCACCACTGCTGTCATTGTGAACACTGACCTCATCAAGCTTTGTGGAGGCAAAGATGTGACCCAGTGATTCCTCTCCTGGGTTTCTCACCACAACAAAAGCCTCTTGCACAGGCCTACAGGGAATGTGGGTAAGGATGTTTGTCTTTTTTTTTTTTTTTTTTGCAGTACTGGGGCTTGAACTCAGGGTCTTCACCTTGAGCCACTCCACCAGCCCTATTTTTTTTTGTGAAAGGCTTTTTCAACATAAGGTCTCATGAACTATTTGCGTGGGCTGGCTTCGGACCATGATCCTCCTGATCTCTGCCTTCTGAGGAGCTAGGATTATAGGCGTGAGCCACCACTATTTGAGAAAGCAAACCTGGGAGGAAACCGGTGCCCCAACCTGAAGGGGATTTAAGAAAATGTGCTTGTATGCACATTGCATCTCTCAGCGCCAACTCAGACGTGATCCAAGGGCTCATGAATAAGAAAGACTTGGTGTTTGTTATTCTTGTCACCTGGAAAAGTCTAAGGATTTAGAGTCTGTCTCCCAGGAACCAGGGACAAAGCCAAATAGTTTATTTTTTGATAGCTTAAAAACAAGATAAAAATAAGTTATTAGAGGTTAGAGGTGTAGCTCAGTGGTAGAATGCAATGCTGAGGCCCTGAATTCAATCCCCAATACTGGAAAAAAAAAATGTCCTCAAATGGATATGCGAGTGCATTGGGCAGAACATGAGTTCTCACTCTGTTTCTGAAGCATGCAAGACAATGGACGATCATTGCTGGAGTAGCCAGTAGCCAACACTGATAAACTAGTTCAGAACACCTGGTGTCGATACCGGATTGTTGATACCGGTTCGTGTCCTGATGCAGTTGATGATTGAAGATGCCACACTGGGAGTTAAGAGTTAAAGCAAGCACAAAGTTTATTGAAAGGATAGCAAAGCACCCTGATGGGTGGGACTTAGTGAAAGGGCAAAGTCAAAGAAAGGGTGAAGTCCAGGAGATGATAAGGGCATTAACTGGCTTAGGTCCAACTATTCTATATTTGTGATTGTTTGGCACCTAGTCAACTCATTAAATCTGACCACCTGTCTGTCCCTCTCCTTATCCAACTGAACATTCCAGTAGAGTCTGGTCAGCTGGTCCTGGCTTGGAAGTCTGCCCAGCTTGTCCTGGCCTTGGGGCCCACTCCCCACATTGTGCAGCTGCATCTTGTTACTTTTGTGAGAGGCTTGTTATTTCTCTGAGAAGCCCGTAGTTTTCTATGCCTCTTTAGATGTCTATTTTTTAAAGTGCCTCTGTTATCCAAGATGGAGTCACCTCAGTCATTGCTCCCCTTACAGAGCGAGCTTTTTTCCAAAACTTGCTTTTATTTGGAATTTAAAAACCCGTTGTCTTTAAAAAAACAATCCTGCCCAATGGTTCTTACTTCTCAGTCCAGTTTGTAAAATTTAATCATAATAACAATCTAGTGATAATAATTGGTGTTTGTTGAGCTGGAAGTCTACCACATACTAACATATAATTCTAGATGCTAGGATGAGAAGTTTGGAAACTGGGGGAGTAGCTCAGGGGTAGAGCACTTGCCCAGCATTTGTGACACCCTGGGTTTGATCACCAGTACTGTAAAAAAAAAAAAAAAAACAGGGAACCTGAGTCAGAAATGACATTAAAGAGATTGTCAGCCACCTATAGAATATTAAGGACACATAAATAAATAGTCATTGCATTCCTGGATAAATATTCTGAGGTGAAAAAAGATGACCTTAGGACTGTGATGAGAAATAAGGGAAAGACATGAAGATGCTTGACTAACATAATTAGTAAAAGTAATAGAGGAGATAAATTTGCTCAAAGTACATTATGTGGATGATGCAAATATCAAACACTTGCACAATTAATTTACATTAATAAAAATCTATAATTTGGCTTGGTGGAGTGGCTCAGGTGGTAGAGTATCTGCCTAGCAAGCATGTAATCCCTGAGCTCAAACTCCAATACAGCTAAAAAATATTACTAGTAATTCATAGCATTGAATAGTTGCTCAATAAATGTTAAGAAGAAACCAAAAACTCATCCGAAGCAGAACTGAGTCTTCAGTACTGAAACAGATGTAGATTTTAACACATCATAAGCATAAGACTAGAAAAAGTAATGCATTTGACCCAGTTACTTAGAAGTGGTGACAAATGTGGGCTGTATTTTATCATGAGCTCAAGGTCTAGTGTAGAAGAAATGGACTTCCCAAAGTAGACAGGTGTATGCCAGGAAAGCACAGGATGGAGAATTTTTTTTAAAGTAAAATACATTTAATGAAACAGAAAACCCTTCCTTTTTAAAAGGCATTACAAATCACAAAGACAAGACTTCAAATCATGGGGAAAACAAATAGTTTTTAAACAGCTTCTTTACACTCCCTACTGTCTGTGGGCAATGCTATTGTCACTTGACAATCATTTGCTCAGTGTCCAGTGCCACACGTCATGCTGGGCAGAGAGCACAGGGTGATCTGAGTCATGCACGGTTCCTGTGCACATGGGGTAAACAGACTAAGTGGAAAAGACCCCCGTTATAAACCGGAGGCCTGTGCAGCCTTGTCCTCCAGTGTGTGATCCATGCATTGTGGTGGTAAGCACTCTCATAAACACTATTTGAAACTGTGTGTTTAAATGACTTAGAGACATATGAAAACGTTACTACAGGTTACAGCAAAGCTATAGTTCAGAGAAATGAAATGGAAAGAAATCCAAAAACTATCTACTGCAAAGCACATAAGTGTATCCCTGTCAGGTTTTTTCTTTTAGAGCAGATGTGTTGTATTAAAATGTGATTTTCAAACTCCCAGGGGATGGTGGCAAGGCGGTGGTCATATGGAATTACATTCCATTCAGTGTTTCCGGTTCCTTGCCTGGAAATGAGAAAAGCACACCCATTCCCAGATCCCAAGTAAAGTTGGGTCCAAAGGTGTGTACCCTGTGCCCTCCCTTCATGAAGAGGATATTAGGGCTTAATCAAAGATCTGAGTCCGTAAATGTTACTAGCTTTGCATGATAGAGAATATCAGCATGTGTTTTTCAATTTCCCATTGGAAAGTGGTTACTGGATTGTCTAACCATTATTTCTTCTCACCGCCCAGGTTACCCTTTCCCTACTGCTCCTCCTGTGGATCCATTTGCCAAAATCAAAGTAGAAGACTGTGGAAAAACTAAGGGATGCTTTAGGTTGGTAGATCTACAAGTTGGATAACTTTAAGGCTAAGAGATTCATTTACTTCCCAAGGTTGTGTTTAAATTGCATGCAGCTCCTTCTCATCAGGATCTTGCCGGTCTTCCTAATTTCAGCAAGACCGTCAAGTTTTCTAACGGTCACTCCACCATTCAGTCTTAAAGACCTTTTAGCTCCAGCAGACACTAGGCCGGGTTCCCGTTTCCAGTTGTATTGCCATTGGCCATCGAGTTGCATGAGGAAGACTCATGGGACAGAGAACATGTCTCTGCTTGTTTAGCTGGGGCTGTGGGAAGAACTGGCAATGGCAGACAGGAATAATACACAATTCCTTATCAAATAAACAGTCATGACTGTGAATTTTGTCTTTTGGTTTTGGTTTTTTTGGCAGTATGGGTTTGAACTCAGGGCTTCACATTTGCTAGACAGGCACTCTACCACTTGAGCCACTCTGCCAGCTGAATGTGGATTCTGTAAGATGCTAAGTGGTTTTTAAGCATTGATTAGCGTACTTGTTAGCTCAGGTGTGGGAAGTCCCTGTGTGATTACTGGTAGTATTCCACCAAGACATGGTAAGCTGTGTAGAAAATAGTACTGAAAAAACTACACCTGAGTAAAGGTACTGGTGGCCCCTACACTCAAGGTTCTCAATGTTTTGTTATTGCTCTGAGCTCAAGGTCCCAGGGGAAAGCATTGAATACAAGGGCCTTGAGCATTCTTTGGATTACAAGGTCATTTCAAGGACATTAAAAAAGTCTAGTAGTACTACTATTGAGGAAGATGCGGGTGTTCAATTCTGGTAATAGGGATATGATTTTGCAAAGAGAAGGAACTTTAGTACCCTGCTGTTTTCAGAGTGACCTGTTTTTTCTGGCCCACTCACTTTTACTTTCCTTCACCCATACATCTTTTTCACCCCAGTTCCAGGTTGCCTTTGTCTTACATCTCTCCCTGCTGCTCAGAATATCTCTGCCAGCACACTAGTATGTTCTTACCTCCGCCCTCAATCACAGCTTAGCACCCCAGTGTCCTGTTCTGCCAGATGCCTGCCATCTGCTTAGGTTGGCTCACACATTACTGCAATTTTCTTTCTTTCTTTTCAGTGGAACTGGGGTTTGAACTCGGGGCTTCACATTTACAAAGCAGGTACTCTATGGCTTGAGCCACACCTTCAGTGCGTTTTGCTCTTGTTATTTTGAAGATGGGGTCTTGCGATGTATCTTCCTGGGCTGGTCCCAAGCCTGAATCCTCCTGATCTCAACCTTCCAAGTAGCTAGGATTACAGGTGTGAGCCACCAGTTCCTGCCTCTTTCTTTCCTTTTTTATGCTTGACATCAAGCCCAGGGTCCCATGTATGCCAAACACACACCCTACCATTAAACTGCTCCCCACTGTTTCAGTTTTCTGTCCTTCTGACAGTGGTGTAATACAGAGTTCCTCAAACTAGGCCTTGCTAGTTCTTAAAGGATCCACAAGTCCTTTGTAACAAAATTGAGATTCGTGTTTTCATCTCAATGATGCTCTTTTAAGAAGATGAAAGTATGCACAATCTGACCATTTGGATAACATGGTTATATTATCCATGTTATATTATGCATATATTATATATTGCTACATGTTTTGGTGTCTGACTTTGTGATTGCATTAGCACCTAGTATCCCAACAGAACAAAGGTAGATTTTATACATAGATGATGCACTTATGCTCAGTGGGCACCAGATACGGTGTTCATAGGGTATATGTACAAGTCAGGGTTTTGTAGCAGCTCTTTCAGATAAAAGTAGAGAAGTTGAACCATCACACTGTGGTCAAAAGTAAGAACACACTCAACTCAAAGGCCAATTTATTTAAAAATCAATTGTTCATCACATGCATGCTGTGAATTGCAAGGTTCCTGGTTTTTCAGTTTGATTTATATTTAATTTACACATTTGTGTTATTTTAGCTATGTGAAAATTTGTAAGTAAAAAGTTGGTACACACTTAATTAACAAAAATGATTTAAACTATTAACTTGAAGGATCCTTTTCCTCTAAAGAGATTCAGAAAGAATTCCGTTATAACTAAAGTTTAAGAAACTGATGCAAAGAACACTGGTTAGACACCCAGGTTCAAGTCCTATTGCTGTCATTAACTTCATTGTGCAACCTGGGTCAAGCTTCTTCCCTTCTCCATACCTCAGTTTATGTGTAGATAAAGTGGAGCCGATCATCTCCAAGGTCCCTCGTAGCCAAGTGAAACTGTTTATGAGATCTCAGGAAGCAAAGATCTTATTTAATAATAATACTTAGCATCCTGGGTGATGCTCGTGCTATTATTGGAATAAGTAGCAGTAATGGATCTTTTGCTGTGTCCTCCAGATATGGCAAACCAGGCTGTAACGCAGAGACCTGTGACTACTTCCTTAGCTACCGGATGATAGGGGCTGATGTGGAATTTGAGCTGAGCGCAGACACTGATGGCTGGGTAGCAGTTGGATTCTCTTCAGACAAGAAAATGGTAAGCCGCAGATCACTAGAGAAGCTGCTTTTCCTCCTTCACTTCCATGCAATCAATTGATCAAAGCAGTATAATTATTATGTTCATCACAGCTCTCTAATTGCAAGTTTAGAAAGTTCAAGTGAGGACTGGGGAAGAACTCAGTGGTAAAGCCCTTGCCTAGCATGTGCAAGGCCCTGGGTTTGAGTCCCAGCACTGCAAAGAAAAAATTAAAGCGAGAGACTTGAGGCACTCCTAGTCACCAGCGAGGTCCACACAAAGCTGCAGAAAACTGAGTGTCTTCTATCAGTAAACATTTCTTTTTTCTTGCTCACACCTGTGGGGATCGGCTGAGCTTTGGCTCGCATTAGGTGGGGCTCAGCTGGACTTGGCTGATTTGGGTTGGATTTCAGGCTTTCTCTGTTTCTCTAGTCAATCTGGAAGGAGCAACCCTTATGTATAATCTTTTCATGACAGAAGCAGAAGTTAGAGCCAGTGTAAGGAAAATCAAACTGTGTTTTCTCTTTACTCAGGCTCAACACATCATATGTGTAGGGTTCACCCTCTGCCCAACACACACACAAAGCAATTCTCCAGTGGTCACCAGCTGGACATACTCTAATTCAATTCATTTCTGACACCATCTACCTGGAGGTAGTGTCAGATCTCACTGGCTAAGGGCTCAGTCCCACAAATTGCCCCCAACTTTAGATGCCAACTGCATCCGGTGTTGTGACCTGTGCTTCTGACTGGCTATTAATCAGAGTTTCCATGACCTCCTCCTTGAGTTTCACTAATTTGCTAAAGTTGCTCACAGAACTCAAGTAAATGCTTTACTTATACTTGCCCATTGTGTTAGCTTTCCATTGCTGTGACAAAATACCCAAAATAATCAACTTAGAGAGAAAAGGGTTTCAGTCCATATGTGGTGATGCACACCTGTAATTCAGCTACTCAGGAGGTAGAACTCGATTTGAGGCCAGCCCTGGCGAAAACTAAGTAAGATCCCTATCTCAACAAATAAGCTGGGCATGGTGGTACACATGGGTAATCCTAACTCCATGGGAGGACATAAGTAGGAGAATTGTGGTTTGAGACCAGTACCAGGCAAAAATGTGAGACTCTGCTGGAAAAATAACTAAAGCATAGTGGTTGAAAACCTGTCTAGCCAGTGTGACACCCTGAGTTCAATCCCAAGTGCCTCCAAAAATAAGAAAAAAAAAGGAGTTGGAGGTATCAGTCTGTGGTCACTTGATCCTGTAGCTCTGGACCTGTGGCAAAGCAGTGTATCGTGAGAGGGAGCCTGTGGTGGAGGAAAACTCTTCACTTCATGGCAGACATGAAGCAGAAAGAGAGACAGAAGGAGCAGAGTCCAATGTCTGCTTCCAGGGCTCTTCCCCAGTGATCTAACTTACTTCCTCTAGGCTCCACCTCTTAGTTTCCACCACTTACCGAGTATACCATAGACTGGGGACCAAGCCAATAACACAAGTGCCATTGGGGACATTCCAGATGCAAGCACCTGTTTATTATAAACAAAGTTACGATGATCTCAGACAACAGCCAGATGCAAGAGCTGCCCAGGGCGAGGAATGGGGGAGTGAGTAAGGAGCCTCCATGGCCTCTTACCACCATCCAGGTACCCCCATGGGTCAACAGTCTTGGAAGTTCATCCATGCCTCGTTCATTTAGGTTTTTACAAAGGCTTTATTTGTAGGCATCGTTCATCAAATCATTGGCCGTTAGTGTTCAACTCACCCAGCAGTTGGGGGTGAGGCTGAAAGTCCCAACCCTCTAATCATGCCTTGGTCTTTCTGGTGCCCAGCCCCCATCCTGAAGCTGTGTAGGGGTCCCCAGCCACTAGTCATTTCATTAACACATGGAAGACATTCCCATCATTCCAGAGATCCCAAGGGCTTCAGAACCAGTGTGCCAGGACCAGGGACAGAGGCCCAACATGATTTCTTATTTTCTTGGTATGTAATATTGTATAGGGGGTTTTGTTGTGACATTTATATATGTGTACAATGTACCCTGGTTTGGTTCATTCCCTCCATTATTCTCCCTCCCCCTTCTTGAAATGATTTTGTTAGGTTTTAAAATTCCATATTCCTACATGTATAGAAAGTACCTCAACCATATTTACCCTCTTTACCCTCTTCATTTACTCTCCCCCTTCCACTAGTGTCCTTCCCTTAACATAACCTGTTTTGCATTCCTGTCCTTCATCCAACATGATTGCTTACTATGTCACAGTATCAAAGCCACAGCCCAGCCCTCTGCTCCTATCACATCTACTAACCTTCCATTGCCCAAAGCAAGTCCCACAGCCAATCCCAGAATGAAAGTGAAACCGGAGTTTTGGACCCAAGGCCCAAACTCCTGAGATTCCATATGCCAGATCTGGCCACCCACCCCTAAACGCCAAATAAAGAGGCATGGTGAAGGCAGAGAAAGGAGTTTATTACATGGCTTGGGACATGCTGAGGGAAGAAGTAGAGTAAGGACTCAGCTCATCTTCAGCCATCTTCAGGGTACAGACGTGAGCTATAGGTTTAAATAGACAAAAGAACTGGGGCAGGGACAAAGGTATGCATAGTTAAACAGTTCAGTCACAGGTGTGGTCTGGTTGACCATTATCTCAGTCCAAGGGTTCCCAGAGAGGTTCCAGAGAAGATATTATCACTTGAGGGGAGCAATCTGGTTCCTGTTTGAGAAGATTCTTGGGATAATTGTCCTCACTGGGAGGGTGGCAACTCCAGGTGGCTCCAGTATATTGTCATAAAGATATTATCAATTCTGTCCCTTTTGGAATCCAAGGTGATTGCAAAGTAACTGTAAAGAGAATGGCTTAGCGCAAAGACAGATACAAAATGGAAACAGGGATGCCAAGCTTCTCCTGTTTTTAGTTAATATGTGGGCTCAAGTAATTTTGCTTTTCAGCAAAAGTAGTTTGAGCACCTCTTACAAAAGGGCCGGAAGCGTACTCCCCGTACCTGTAAAGTGTGGATATACAATACTATTACAGGGGAGTGAAGAATTGGGACCAGCGATTCAGTCTTCTACAATATGCATTGGCCAGAAAACATCTTGACCTCAGAAAGAACTATGGTGGGAACAGGCAGGGCGTCAGGAAGCTGGTCCACTGCTTACCTCTGTTTCTGTCTGTGGTGCTGCTGTATTCCTTCCTCTTTCTTCTGAAACCCTGTCATTGTGCCAGGCTTCATCCTAAACTGCCAAATGTTCTTAGGCCCTTGGGCCTTATACAGGCCACTGCCACTGATCTGAGGGGCTGCCCCCTTGTCTTCACTTGGCCTGCTTTGAGGCTTGTGCGGTGGTACCAGGGAGAGAGGAGGATGGCTCAAAGCAGGGTTACGGTAGTACAATGGTGAGTGGGCTCAGGTTTTGGCTACTTGGAAAGCAGTACTCCTGGAATTTGCTAAGGGGTTGGATACAGGGTAGAGGAAAAGACAGGAGGGCAGCTAAGCAGGTGGCTGCTCTGGTGGCTTTGCTCTTAGAAATGTCACCAGGAGAATGTGCCTGTCTGGGACATCAAACGAGGTACAGCTGGTAAGCCCGAATAGCTACAAATCTCCAGTACTTGTTTCTTACCATGGTGTCACTAGGAGAAGCAGCAGGAGAGGGCTGTACGCAGAAGATGGCTTCCATTGGGAGTGACCATCTGGATGACCCAAATGCACCCTAACCTGGCATGCATTTGAGTTCATAGTGTTAAGACTAGGAGTTCAAGCTGGGAGTTAGTAGTGTCTGTAATCCCAACACAAGAGAGGCTGATGCAGAAGGATCGTGAGTTTGAGGCCAGCCTAGGCCGCATAGTGAGACCCTGTCTCAAAAAGAAAAAACAAAAAAGCCTGGCATGGTGGCTCATGCTTGTAATCCTACCCACTCTGAAGGCAGAGATTCACAGTTGGGAGGTCAGCCCAGGAAAAAAGTTCTCAAGAACCCCATCTTAACCAATAATAATTTTAAAAAAGCTGGGCTTGGTGGTACATACCTGTTATCCCAAGCCATACGGGAAGCACAAATGGCAGGATTGTGGGGCAGGCTGGCCAAGCATAAATGGCAAGACCCTATTTGAAAAATAACTAAACCAAAAAGGACTGGGGCAGTGGCTTAAGTGGTAGAGCATCTGCCTAGCAAGCAGGAGGCCCTGAGTTCAAATCCCAGCATTGTCAAAATAACTAAGTTAATTAAATAAACCAAAAAAAAAAAGAAGAAGAAAGCTTAGGGGGCCCAGAGGAATGAGGTACCCTGAGTAGCCTTCAAATTTTATGTGTGACATTCTGTGTCTAAAGCACCTCCATCTTTTTTTTTTCATTTTTCTTTTATTATTCATATGTGCATACAAGGCTTGGTTCATTTCTCCCCCCTGCCCCCACCCCCTCCCTTACCACCCACTCTGCCCCCTCCCTCTCCCCCCCCTCAATACCCAGCAGAAACTATTTTGCCCTTATTTCTAATTTTGTTGTAGAGAGAGTATAAGCAATAATAGGAAGGAACAAGGGTTTTTGCTGGTTGAGATAAGGATAGCTATACAGGGCATTGACTCACATTGATTTCCTGTGCATGTATGTTACTTTCTAGGTTAATTCTTTTTGATCTAACCTTTTCTCTAGTTCCTGGTCCCCTTCTCCTATTGGCCTCAGTTGCTTTAAGGTATCTGCTTTAGTTTCTCTGCGTTAAGGGCAACAAATGCTAGCTAGTTTTTTAGGTGTCTTACCTATCCTCACCCCTCCCTTGTGTGCTCTCGCTTTTATCATGTGCTCATAGTCCAATCCCCTTGTTGTGTTTGCCCTTGATCTAATGTCCACATATGAGGGAGAACATACAATTTTTGGTCTTTTGGGCAGGCTAACCTCACTCAGAATGATGTTCTCCAATTCCATCCATTTACCAGCGAATGATAACATTTCGTTCTTCTTCATGGCTGCATAAAATTCCATTGTGTATAGATACCACATTTTCTTGATCCATTCATCAGTAGTGGGACATCTTGGCTGTTTCAATAACTTGGCTATTGTGAATAGTGCCGCAATAAACATGGATGAAGCACCTCCATCTTTAAAATACCTCCTGTGATGTTTGAAACCTCTCCTCTAAATCACACATTATTAAAAAAAATCTGATAGATAGGAAAAGCAAAATGGAAGCCCTTTTATTTTTTTTAGAAATTTTTATTAGGCTATATTCATTATACTGGGGAGAGTCGTAGTGACAATTCTGATTAGACTTATATTGTATTAGTTATATCACCCCATCGTCTCTCCCCCTCATCCCTCTCCCTGACCCACTTAAAGCCATTGCAAGAGGTTATTTAGCTCTGTTTCATGTAGGTATATGAAATCCATCAACCACACACTGTCACCTTAATCTCCTTCCTCCACCTCCCCCCTTCCACTAGTACCCCCACACACACTGTACCTATTTTACTGTCCTGTCTTTCATTATTAATATTTAAGTTGATGTGGAAAGGGGTTTCTCAACGCATCCCCGCTGTGAGTATAGTTTGCTTTGGTCTGTTCCCCTTCCATTACTCTCCCTGACGCCTTTACTTCCCACTCCCATTTTTCAGCAGCTTTCAATACACATCCTTACATCCTCTACCTTCACAGATGCTATGTTTTATTATATTTTCCTTTCTCACTTTCCCCGAGGGGAGCCCCTTTTTAAATACCCTTTAATTTTTATGGTGTATTTTAAAAATTAGATTGTAATTTCTACAGCAGTTTTTGTTCATAACAAGATGACATTTCCCATGTGATCTGAGTAGCGTCCCCAAGTATCAGCATCTTACGTGGAATGATGCATCTGTTACAAGTGATGAGCATTTAACTTTTTAACTTGTTTTGAAAAAATTTAAGCCTATAGATAAGCTGCAAGTGTAGTAACAAAAACCCTTATTAATATATATTTATATATTTTCATATATTTATATCTTTATCAGGTTTACCTAGATTCATCAAATACCCCAGTAACCTTTTTTTTTTAAGAAACAGGGTCTCCCTACCTCCTGCCTCAGCTTCCCTAGTGCTGGGATTACAGGTGTGCACTACCACGCCCAACTCTGATAACTTTTTTTTATTGTGGTAGAATGCACATGACCTAAAATCCACTGTATTTACCATTTTAAGTGTACAGTTCAGTGACGCCAATTATATGTGGTATTGAGCAATCATCCCTACTCCCTAGTTCTGGAATAACACTTTGTCATGTGTGCTTTAGTCTCTACTGTTGCTGCTTCTGCTACTAATTATTTTATTATTATCATTGTCATCATTATTTCCTAGAAACTTGGACTTTAAATCACTGTGATCTAAATATTTAAGAAGGACTCTTCTCAACTTAAGAACCTTCTCTTTCATTATACAGTGAAATACATTCAGGAATTTGAGATTGATATAACAGCATTATCAAATATGCGATCTGTTTTCAAATGTCACCAGTTGTCCCAATAGTATCATGTAAAACATGACAATATTTTATGACCCAGCATCAATCTCCATCAGAACACCATTGCGTTTAGTTATCATGTATCTCTTGTCTTCTTTATTTTGAAATAGTTTCTGAGTCTTTTAAGTCATTTGCTTGATTTTGAGGGTCTTTCATATCATTAACCCTTGTGAAGATTACAGGAAAGTTTTTTGTTTTGTTCTGTCTTGTTTATAGAATGACCTTCAACTTGGGTTTGTCTGATTGTTTTCTCCTGATTGGATTAACTTACGTGTTTTGTGGCAGGACTATCTAGCTGATAACTAAACATCACACCAGGAGGTGCTCCGTGCCAATTACTGTGACGCTAACTTTGCTCACCCGCTTCAGGATTTTCAATTTAAATTAAACATTTAAAGCAGTGTTTGGTGGGATGTCCAATGACAGAGGAGCTAGAATGTTTATTTCTGAGTGAAAAGTTTGCAGAGATGAACTTCGCCTTTTCTTAACCATTCTTCCTGTAGGGTGGCGATGATGTCATGGCCTGCGTCCATGATGATAACGGCCGGGTCCGCATCCAGCACTTTTATAACGTGGGCCAGTGGGCAAAAGAGATCCAGAGAAATCCTGCCAGAGATGAAGAAGGCGTTTTTGAGAACAATCGAGTCACCTGCAGATTCAAACGCCCTGTCAATGTTCCCAGAGACGAAACTATTGTCGACCTGCATTTGAGTTGGTATTATCTGTTTGCTTGGGGTCCAGCCATTCAGGGTAAGCTTACGTTTCAGCGTCTGCATTAAACACCAGACACCGTGTGTTCATTGTTAATTGAAGTCGCACTGTGTGCACAAGAGGGCCATAAGCACTCTGAGTACTGTTAAAGAGAAGGACATGTGACTCCTTCCTTCCGTAGGTTCTAATGAACTTGTCATACACACGAACAAGGGGCCATGTGGCACACATGCAAAGGCAGCACAGCACAAGGTAGCCTAGGACGAATGACGTGCTTAATAAAGCTCTGTGTGGGCTGTGGATCGTGTAATTCTCACACGTCCTGCAGGGCTGCAGATATTATTATCCTCGTTTTAGAAAGCTTAAGAAACTTGCTCACAGCTATCTAACTAATTGATGGAAGAAGTAAAACTCAACCTAAGTCCATTGATTTCAAATTCTGTGGGCCCTATTAACTCCTATCCTCTAACTAGGAAAATACCCAACAGGAAAAGGCTTCTGGAGATTTCTCTAAAAGTTAACAACAACAAGCATTTCATTAGTGCTCACTTTATAACTATTCTCATGGTCACAAATAAACCAAATTATTCTATAAGTTAGCCTGTTACTCCTCAAATATGAAGGTGCATAGAGGACTGGAGCATGGCTCAAGTGGTAGAGCTCCTGTTTACCTGTCCAGCAAGTTCAAACCCCAGTACCACCAAAAAAAAAAAAAAAAAAGTACCTAAGAAATCCCTGGTTGTATTGTTACAATGCAGTCTTCTGTAGGTCTGAGTGGGGACTGAGATTCTGCATTACTAATCCCCTCTGTGGTGGTGCTGGTGCTGGTCCATGGATGACCAGCAAGGTGACCAGGGTGGCAAGGCTCTTCAGCATTTCCCCAGCAAAGACCCAAGGACATCATGAGACCTTCTAAAAGCTGCTAAAATCAAGTCACCTTGTATCTTGAGCATTGTTCCTGGTTGATTGGTTTAGTAGCCTGACCAAGAATGGATGGATGGTTTGCAGTATTTGTGTGGAGAACTCATTCTGTGTCTTGATCAATGCATCTTCCTTTTCTTTCCTTTTTTTTTTGAGTTGGGGCTCTCACTATGGTGCCCAGGCTGACCTCAGTCCTCCTACCTTAGCCTCCCGAGTAGCTGGGGTTACAGGTGTGTGCACCTAGTTTTGCATTAGCAACTCTTTCTTACTTCATCTGATCTCATTTTTTCCCTTCAATTTGTTTCTGTTGACCAATCTGGAGATTACATAATCTACTTTTTTTTTTTGCTTGTTGCCAGTTGGGAAAATAATTGGATGTCTCCAGATTTGTGACACCCTTCCCATTCATTGATTTCCCAGATCTGCCACAAAGGGTCTGCAATGATGCCTTCAAATAGTCTTAGTACCCTGGGAAATAAATTATATTTTATCCTGGAGAAATGAACTCACTTAAAATAGTGTGATTTGGAATCTAAAATTAATTTGAGTTTGCCTGTTGGCTCTGCCTCTTGGTGGCTATATAATATTTAGCATGTTACCTAAAATCTGAAATTCATTTCCTTGTATCTAAACTGGGACAGTGATAATACCTACTTCATAGAATTATTGAAGGATTAAATGAAAATAAGTATTTGAAATTGTTTTAACAAGTTGAAAACTACTATACAGTAGTCCCCTATCTTATCTATGGAAGATATTCAAGCTCTCCAGTGGATGCCTGAAAACCCTATATACACTGTGATTCTTCTTATACATAATTTATAAAGTAGGGGAGTAAGAGATTACCAACAATAACAAATAATAAAATAGAACAATTACAACAACATACTATAATAAGAGTTATATAAATCTGATCATTCACTCTTTCAAAATAGCTTATTTGAACTGTACTATATTTTCAGACCCTGGTTGCCTGTGGGTCACTAAAACCAGAGAGTGAAACCGTGTACAGAAGAAGGTCATCTTATATCTATGGCATCCTATTCTGATGTTCAGAGTCCTCTCCAAACCTCTCTGGCTTTACCTGATCAGCTCTCTCAAGACTGTTTTTCTCATTGTCTCTAAGCAAAATAGGCACATTCCTGCCCTATGAACAAGCCTGTGCTTTTTCTTTGAAGCACCCTTCTAAAAGTCTCTGTCAAATCCTATCTGTTCTCTTCATGTCTCCTAGAGGGGATAAAGTTGAGCTAAGGCTTGAAGGGGTGCTGACTAGATTTCCTCCAAAGAAGGCATGAACCGGAGGCACAGCTTAGTCTAGGGGTCCATGTAGATGACCATGAGGTGAGGTTGGGTAGGAGGTATGAGCACCGCCCTATGGAGAGAAGGACCTCCTGCCAAGTCCACGAGTTTGTGCTAACAGGAGCCAGCATGTCAAGTTCAGCAGGGCTTCCCTAGGGACAGCACCTTAAAACTCCTACTCTGACCTTTATCATAAGGAAGCCTTGCACTGAGTTCATGTGTGGATTTCCAGACCAGGCACCTCTAATCAACTTCAGCTTTGTTTTTTTTGTTGTTGTTTGTTTTTTTCATTTTTTTATTTTCTATTTTGCATTGTTTAAATCTTGTTTAGAGATGGGGGTCTTGCGCTGGGGGGTGTGGCTCAAGTGGCCGAGTGCTTGCCTAGCAAGCATAAGGCCCTGATTTCAAAACCCAGTGCCACCAGAAAGAGAGAGAAAGATGGAGGGAGGGGTAGATATAGCCTTTGCTGTTTGAATTAAAATTAAAGATGTAATATTTCCACTTACTTTTAAGAAGTTGAAGCTTACATGCAACATTGCGAGTAGACATTCCGACGGTGTCATGTGGGTAGCAGTTTTGAAACTGGGCTGTCATGAAGAGGACATTAGTGAGAGTTGAGGTGGGGGGGCTGCAGATTGATGAGAGCCAGTTTTTTGTGCTTTGTTTTTTGATTTAGCCAATTCCTGTGGTTTCCATCGTATATACAATTACGGAGAATTCTGATGATAATTCTAACACCTGCTCCTGGGGCTTTATAACCCTGCATATGTACTCAACATTGTGCCTATGCCTATGCCATTCCAATCGCCCCTCCACTTCTCTCTCCCTCTTCAAGGCTCCATCACCCGACATGATATAGACTCTCCACCGGTGTCAGAGCGCGTTGTCAGTATTTACAAGTACGAAGACATTTTCATGCCATCGGCTGCCTATCAGACCTTCTCATCTCCTTTCTGTCTGCTTCTCATTGTTGCTCTGACCTTCTACTTGTTGATGGGAACCCCTTAACCACAGCTGCAAGGCCAGTAGACTAAATGGATCGGAAAGCCTTTAGTATAAATCTATATTTTCAAGACTATCCAGTATAATTTTAGCTTCTGTTTATTTTAAAACAACACATGATTTCAGCTTTTTGGGAGAAAGAACCAGCTTCTTTTTTTAGTCGAAGAGAATTGTTTCATAGTGATCCTGTTTTGGGGAAGAACTTAACTTTTGTAAGCCCTTTCGAATATGTTTTCTTATTTGAGTTTTCATCTGGACTGGCTTGATGAAACTATGACTGCCATCTTACTGAGTGGGATTTGAGAATAGAAAGATTGCTTTTTAATACTCACATGCCTTGTAGCTTTGGCTACTTGGTCAAATAACACATAACAAGGCAGAGAAAGAGCTAGACACAGAAATCACATCACTGAACAGGCTTTCCTCTGGGTACTACAGCACAAGAGGGTTACTTTGTGCATTGCTAGGGAAGACTTTACGGGATGGCACACAGAGCATAAGTGCTTTTGGCTATTTGCAAAGTTGATGGGGAGCTTGGGGGAGATTACAATGATATGAAAGTGGCTCATATTTATTTGAAATTTCTTTTCAATTAGTGAGTAGCTATAAGAAAGCAATTTTATATTGCTATTTTGGAAAGGTTAGGAACAGAACTGTGAGTGTTCTTGAAGATATAAAATTTTTAATTATTAGAATATGGGAATTCTTAGCAGTTAGAATTTGGACTCTTCTTCCATTGTCTTTTGTAAATTAATGTATTCATCTGTGGTTATAGCCAATTCTGCTGTTAAAGTCAGCATCCATTAAGTAAGGTTAAATAAATATATGCAAAAGAGACAAATCCTCGTAAGAGAAATTTAAGGCATTTTAATGATACATCAACATTTTTGGAGATTGTAGAGATTTGGAGGAAAAAAAATTAGCTTGAGGTTTCTTTTATTTATTTTTTTAATTAGAAAATGGGAAAATGACCCATAGGTGAATTCACCTAGAGTATCCAATTAAAATATTCCGACTTATAAATTGGACAGGAAGTCAGCATAATCCAGAATAATGCCTTGCTATATGAGGTGAGGAGTCTGAAGGATAGTTCCCTTGGGGCCACCTAGATTCTCTCACTTGCCCCCATTGTTTCAGAGATGGCTCCATCTTTGTGATAAGTAAGACTGAGACTGCGATTTCTAAAACCGTCTTGGAGATTCATGTCAGAAGTAAAAGTTCACCTGTGGGGACAGTGCTCAAATGCTTCTGGACCTAAGCCACAACAAGAAAACCACGGATGGTCTGTGACATTGCACGCTTACCAAGCACTTCCAAGGAATGTAGGAGAAACATTCCTCGTTGCAGACAGGGAGAGTGTAATGACAGCAGGTGAGCAGTGGAGCTGGGGAGGGTATCCAGCCCAAGGTTCAAGTCCATGGCTCCTCCTGACTGCTACTGCCTTTTCACTAATCCCTCCCAGAGCAAAATTAGTGAGTGTGCACACACCCCATGTTGTAAATAAGAAAACAAATATTTTTGTATTTTCCTCTCTTATATGTATAGTAGTTGAGCTACGAATAAGTGAAAACAAAAGAGATTTCAGTTAGTAGCAAGCAGGGAAGGAGAAAATAAGTGGAGTTCCCTTTCACTTATGTTTCAAATCAAGATACTTATTTCACAACTATTTCTACTTTGGTGACCAGTTTTGCAGTGACTTTTCATTGCCCTCAAGACAAAATAAAATGAAATAAAACATCAGCCCTCTGTTCAGTACCTGCAGCTGCTCTGCCGCATTGCTGAGTGTGGGCCAGACGGAAGGCTCCTGGTTATTCAGACCTTCCTCTTCCTCTCACTGTCAGGTATTCCTTGTGTGCAGTTCCTCTCCACTCCTGTGCTTGGTGAAAGGCCACTCAGCTTTCAAGTCACAGCTTGTTTAGTCCTTCCTCACATCCCCTGGACTACAAAGCTTCAGGTCACTACCCACGGCTCCCATGACTTCCTCAATGTCCTCATCAGAATACTGGCCACACTCTATTATAATTGCTGCCTTGTCCTCCCTAAATCTCTCCTGCAGGAACATTGCTTATGATTTTTCAGTGCCACGCACACTGCTCTGCTGTAGGTACTCAGTGAACATTTGTAGAATAAATAATATGTGAAACTGTATTGCTATGGCCAGTTCATTTGGTTCAGAAAGCATGCATTTCATGTACCTTCCCAGACTGGCCAATATTTTTTATGATTTTCCACATGTAATCAAACTATAAAGTCTTTCTTTGTTGTTTGAGACAGGGTCTTGATATTTAGCCCAAGTTGGTCTTGAACTCAAGGTCCTCCTGCCTCTGCCTCCTGAGTGCTGGGATTACAGGCATTTCACCACTAAGCCCAGCTCCATAAAATATTCTTTCACTAAACACTGAACTTTGTCTTTTGAAACATAAATAACAGAGTCTTTGGTATTAGGGTGTTTTGTCCTATAGTGGACATTAGTTGATGGGTTTTTTTCTGTTTAGTGGTTTTTTTTTTTTTTGGTGGCACTGGGGTTTGAACTCTTGGCTTCATATTTGCAAGGCAGGCACTCTACTACCTGAGCCACTCTGCCAGCCCTTTTTGGGCTGGGTATTTTCAAGTAGCTAAGATTACAGGTGTGAGTCACCAGTGCCCAGCTATGAGTTGATGTTTTTAAAACAATAATCATTGTTCAGAAATAAGAATCCACAGACTAGGGATGCATAACAGCATTGCCCATCATCTCAGAGAACAATTAATTGATAGATACACTAAAATTAAAAATCTATAGACTTCAATTTCATGCATGCTTACTTTTTACTTTTACTTTTATCTCTGTAGTCCCATTGTCATAGGGGAGAAGCCCAATCAGTATTTTTCACAAAATGCCTAAATAGAATAAAAATAAGTCTAGCTAAATGTATTTAGTACTTTCCCAGCACTTGCTGTGTGATTAACTCATTTAATCCTCACAGCCATAGCAAGATTCTGTTATTAATCCAATTTTACAGATGGAAAACCTGAGGCTAAGCCAGACACCTGTGGCTCATACCTGTAATCCTTGCTACTCAGGAGGCAGAGATCAGGAGAATCAAGGTTGAAAGGCAGCCTGGCAAATAGTTCAAGAGACCCTCTCTTGAAAAAACCCTTCACAAAAAAAAAGGCTGGAGGAGTGGCTCAAGGTGAAGGCCCTGAGTTTAAGCCCCAGTACCGAAAAACAAAACAAAGCAAAAAAAACCCCCCAAAAACCTGAGGCTAGTCATTTGGCCTAAATTAGCAGAGCTGGCAAGGATTGTAGAGACCACTTAACCCAATGCACTTATTTTACGAGGGCCCAGGAGAGGCTCAGGGCAGCAATATGATTTCCTACACATTCATGCACCTTCATGTGGATCCTTTAAAGCTTTTATTAAGTGAAACCTGTTATCTGTATTCAAATTAGCTAAGTGCCTCCTCCCTATTTTGTAATTTGCAGTGAATAAGAGAACTTCTTATTGGGGGGAGGGGAAGAAACAAATTTTAGTTTATATCAACTTTATTTTCTGCTTAAAAACATTTAGATTATTTTGCCAGTTATTTTAGTGCTTTTAATAAGGTTTTGTTTTTTTTTAAATAACACACAGATTGACTAGGCATGGTGATTTACACCTGTAATCCCAGTTACTCAGGAGGTGATTAGGAGTAATGAGATTCCAGGTCAGCCCAGGCAAAAAGTTAGTGAGACCCTATCTCAATAAATAAACTCAGCATGGTGGTAAGGTGCCTGTCATCCCAGCTATGTGGGAGACATAGGTAGGAGGATCGCAGTCTGAGGCTGGTCCCAGGAAAAAACTTGAGACCCTATCTGAAAAGTAACTAAGGCAAGAAAGGACTGGGGCTGGCTCAAGTAGTAGAGCAACTGTCTAGCAAGTGCAAGGCACTTTTTTTTTCTGGTGCCCCTGAAAAAAAAGAATGAGCCAGGCAAGGTGGCACATGCGTGAAATACCAGCTACTTGGCAGGCAGAGGCAGGAGTATCACAAATTTGAGGCTAGCCCTGGCAAAGTTAGCAAGACCCTGTCTCAAAAGCAAAATACAAACAAAAGGAGTTGGGGCAGAACTCAAGTGATAGAGCACTTGCCTAGCAAACTTGCCCTGGGTTCAGTCCTCAGTAACACACACACACACACACACACACACACACACACACACACACACACACACACACACACACACACACACACACACTCAGAGAGCTGGAAGAACGTATCTGTCTTAGTTCATTTTAAGAAGTGATTTGCTTAACCTAGGTCTGTGTTCTGACTTGAAACCCAGTGTTCTTTATTGTTCTACTCTAGTCTAAAGGTGAATTTATAAACATGATTTCAGATAAAATGCAGAAGCTCTAGGTCTGAGGCCAGCTGAGGCTAAAACATGAGGCCCTATTTGGAAAACACTAAAAGCAGAAAGGACTGGGGCATGACTTAAGTGGTAGTGCCCAGAGTTTAAGCCCCAGTACAGGGACTCGGAAAGTTTGGACAACTGAGGAATGGATTTCCATCCCAAATGGTGTTTACTACTGTTTCTGTAATGAAGTTTGCTATCTGTATTCAGGATTTTGTCCTAAGAGATATAAGCATTGATATTGTCATTCTTAGTGCTAGCCTGGGATTCAGTAAACTTTGCTGTTCCGGCCACACTGTAAGCATCTTTAGCTCTGTGATCAGCATCAGCTCCTTTCTCTGCCATAGGCAGTAGAGAACTGAATAAGACTTAATCCACACTGAAATTTGAATTCCTGCGATGTGTACATGTCACAAATACTCTTTTGATGCCTAAAAGCCATTTAAAAATGCAAAGCCCATTCTTAGCTTGCCATGCTGAACAAAAACAGGAAGCAGGCTGGGTTTGGTATGTAGACTGTGGTTTTCCACACTTGCTGTCAGTCAGGGGCACGGAGTGTGTCATGATCAGTTGTAAATCACACTGCCAGTAACTTATTAATTGTAAAGGTATCAAAGTTAATGAATAGTTTGTCTTAAAATAAGTCATAGTGGATTTATGGTTAGAAACAAATGGCATAGTGACAATCCTATGCACTTAGGTTTTAATGTATTTTTTCTGGAGTTGATTTAAAGAAGTAGAAGTAAAATACAAAGCTGGGGAACTTA